ATCTGTTTTATTAATTGGTCCTCCTAGACAGTAGACCTCAAGCACCCAGCTTAGGTTGCTTTTGTGTCATTTATTGTAGAACTTAGAGGCTGACGGAGTAGGCATATTCTCCCTTACCTGTATATCATGATAAATCTGATCTTGTAGGGATGCCTGGGTGGCTCAGTCGGTTAAGCATCTGCCTTCCGCTCAGGTCATGATCTCAGGGTCCTGGGATCAAGTCCCGGCTCAGGCTTCTTGCTCACCGAGGAGCTTGCCTCTCCCTCTACCTGCAGCGCGCGAGCTCACTCTCTCTCTCTGACAACAACGAAAAAATCTGATAATGTAATTGCACCTTCGCTTTCATGGACGTTCATTGTCGCACATTTATAGTTTTTATTCAGGAAGTTCATTGATTACACATTAAGGAACTCCTGAATTTAGAAGCTGAAAGCACAAGTAAGCTACATTTAATATTGGGCAATCGCTGGGTAGTACCATAAGTAATTAGCATATCCCAATAATATAGTCACCAAATATGAAAATAGCTTTCATACCTAACATCCATGTTGCTAAATGCTTTATATTAAAAAGTAGATAGTAATTAGGGCAAATTATGAAAAAATGAGGATAACTTAATTTTTTTAAAAGATTTTATTTGAGATAGCACGCACGCAAGCAGTGGGGAGGGAGACGCTGACTCCCCGCTGAACAAGGAGCCTGATCCCAGGACCCTGAGATGACCTAAGACCAAGGCAGATGCCCAACCAATTGAGCTACCCAGGTGTTCCATTTCCTGGCAGTATTTTAAAAAAACAAGCCCTTGGGGCGCCTGGGTGGCTCAGTCCGTTGACGGCTCGATTGACGGCTCGGGTCATGAGCCCCAACTTGGGCTCCCTGCTGAGCATAGAGCCTGCTTCTCCCTCTGCCTGTCACTCCCCCTGCTCTTGCTCTCTCTCTCTGGCAAATAAATAAAATCTTAAAAAAACAAAAATTAAACAAGCCCTGGTTTCGATGACCACTTACATGATTACATGTGCAGCTTATCTCTAAGCAACCTTGGGTTCTGAAATTCTCCTAGTCACTTGTGTTGTCCTTGAGGGTTCTAAATAGAAATTAGTGCAGGGCCTTGTTTGGAATGGGGACTCGAAGCTGGTCTGCACAATGCAAGACAGATACCAGATGAAGCTCCTTTGTCTCGAGAACGGGGGCTGGGGGAGCCAGGCCCACCTCTGCTCTGGCACCACCCCCCTCAGACCTTCTGGCTCCTCTCCCACTCCTGACCAGCTGGAGATTTCAGGACCCCCTCTCATCAGTCAATAGAATGGGGGGGGCACTAGTTGTCATCCTGGGTGACCCCTGTAGACCTACCCCTGCTTCTGGGGTCTGGAGCTCCCCCACTTTCTAGAAGAATAAACAGGGATGGGGTTTAATAAAGCTTGAGAGGGGGCACCCCACCAATCACACCGGAGTCGGTTTGTTCTTCACTCCCACACCGGCTTATAGAGCACAATGCCTGCTTAGTGTCCAGGAGTCCCTAGTCCAAGGGCAGCCTCGGGCGCCCAGGAGCCGGTTCATGAGCATGTGTAAAATTGGGTACTAATGAGCTAGTCGGCACCTTGTGGCTTTTCCTCCCGGCCAGAACTTTTAGGAATATGAGTCTTAGACCATGTGTGAGGAGGTGGATCCATTGTAGATATAAAAGTGCAGGTCATGGGCGCCTGGGTGGCTCAGTCGTTAAGCGTCTGCCTTGGGCTCAGGTCATGGTCCTGAGGTCCTGGGATTGAGTCCCGCATTGGGCTTCCTGCCTGGGCTCGCTCACTCAAATAAAACTTAAAAAAAAAAAAGTGCAGGTTGTGGAGTCAAGACAGCCCGGTGTGAACCTGCAAAGTGTATGACCTATGACAGGCTAGCCACGTCCCTAAAGGGCCAGAGGGGAAGAACCACAAGGCCACAAGGACTCACAACTACTCCCTTGGCCCTGGTGCAGAAGCAGCCACAGATCACATGGAGACAAATGTGCAGGCTGCGTGCACGTAAAACACAGGTATTTCTTTTTTTTTTTTAATTTTTATTGTTATGTTAATCACCATACATTATATCATTAGTTTTTGATGTAGTGATCCATGATTCATTGTTTGCGTATAACACCCAGTGCTCCATGCAGAACGTGCCCTCCTTAATACCCATCACCAGGCT